AAGGGCGGACGCTCCGGCATGATGCACCCCTTGAAGATTTAGCTCATTTGCATTATTTGAAACTAGCAAATTATAACCGAGTATCTGGATCGCTAGTGTCACTGCTGTCAGAAATGAATTGTTCGTAACAAGCATCATTCTCGTCCAGTTTGTCGAAGTCGTAATAAGGAGTGTCTTTAGTCATCATTTCTTCCAGCGTTTTAATCACGTCCCTGAATGTCGGTCTTTCGCAAGGATCTTCCTTCCAGCATTCCAGCATTAACTTGTATCTGATGAGATAAAAGTGCTTATACTTATTGTGGAGCCTGAGGCTCTAATTGGAAAGTTAACTGACATCTGCCGAGTTTTCCCTGGGAAGTAACACTTGGGTCGCTGGGACTCGGCATCAAAATGGAAAATAGTTTATCTTAGATTTCGAGCAAATAAACGCTTAAAAAGGGGATTTTCTTCATATAACACATGTAAATTTTGACTCATACGATTATCGTTGAAGGCCTCATATGGCTTCTCAATGACCGGCAAAGAGAGTCTTTGACTTTCAAGTAAAAACATAACTTACAATGCTCTGTGGTGTCTTGAAGAAGTCTTCCAGTTAAATGTAAAGCAAACTAGCGAGGTAACTTTGACATCTGTCATTAAAAGTGATTCTTAAACATACAGCCATAGGCAAAGCTACTCACATTTCGTCAGAACACATGTCTGGTTTGTCCATCCGATATCCAGTCTTGAGAAGATTGTATACCTCTTTATTGCTAATGCCAGGATATGGAATGCCACCTTTTGTATACATAACGGATCAGTTAACAAAATACCACAAGACTTGTTAAGATCCAACTCTACTACACAGCTACACTCTTCTCATATCTTCTGATAATTACAGTTTAATGTCTTCCAACTCGTCTTGCACCACTATTTCAAAAGTTATTTACGCTTCATCACTTTTGATCGCAGCTATACCATCATAATGAGTTCTTACCTCAACTGAAGAAACTTCCAATTGATGAAATAAACCAGTACTTAACAATTATTCCATTAGCGTGCATTGGATATGTATAGGAAATCGTATGAACGCGAGTGCATTTCGTGATTTATGGGCACGAGTGATGTTTTGAAAGTTCTCAAAATTGCACGAGCCGTAGGCGAGTGCAATTTGAGAAATGCAATTTGAGAAATGCACGAGCAGGTTCATACGATTTTTTATTTATTATATTCTCGATTTTTTTATAATTTGGTGTTCAAATTTGGCGCTTCCCCGGTGTTTCCATGGCAACTTCTCCGTATTGCACTCTATAACCTCTATTGCACTCTATAACCTATTTATGCATTCATCACTGACCAATCAGAAACGCGATATTTTGTTGAGTATATAATAAAAGTTGGTAAATAGCCAACGAGGCGCGTGGCGCCGAGATGGCCATAACCAATCTCGTATCCAAAATGTTTTTGGAAAAATTTATTGAATCCGAAATGTTTGGATATTTAACGCCTTTTTTCCTTTCCGCAACAGTTGGGTCATACATTTCCATATTAGGTGACTCGGAATATGAGCTGATAACCGGAGTTGAGTGAACTAATCAGAACACTAGAAATGCAATATTCGGAGTTGAAAGTTTAATGATAAAGTATGATTTGATTGTAATATATATCACTCCCTGTGGACACAGGAAAAGTGAGCTAATTGAAACGAAAACCCCATAGTCCAAGATACTTGATTTTCGAAGAAAACTGAGAACTCAGTTTGAAAAAATTCCATCTTAAAAATAATAATTTTCGAAAAAGAGATAAATGCTGTTTTTGTTAGATCTTCCATAAGAACGATAATATAATCTCCTTAACGTATGTAATAGTTAACGTTCTATCGTAAGGCACAATCACAAACAATCTCTTACGTACCCATAGTAGCCATTTCCCACAACAGAACTCCGAAAGACCACCTAAAAAGTAATTTATTTGATCAAAAAAAGATTATTCTTTTAATTAATTTCACTAATATGCAGCCGAATTTACGCAAAGCTGCATTCGCTGTACCTGTACTTATGTGCCGCGAGCATGCTTACCTAAAGTAATTATTAATTGAGTATTTATTTATTTTGCTAAATGAAAAAAAATTGAAACGTTTCATTAGTTGTAATAAACTAAAGACCTGCGATTTGAGACCTCAAGCTTAATACCTACACGTCACTTTTGGAGGTACATCTGCCGTAAAATAGCGCTTCCGGTGCTGACCATTTGATTGGCAGTTTTTTCATCTGGTTCACTTCGTATATTTCACCATATGTGCGACGTAACAGTCCAAAGTCAGCAATTTTAACAGTTCTGCCCTCACCGAGAAGAACATTACGGGCAGCCAGATCACGATGAACAAATCCTCTGCTGGCCAAGTAATCCTGAGAGTGCGTTTCGTTGAAGAGAAGGCGTTAGACTTGGCGGTTGTTTTAAGCATGGCAGTAAAAATGTCAGTATTTGGTGCTGATTGTTTGTAATCAATGAGTTTGCTCCCTTTTTGAGATATAATCAAACACTAACAAAACCATTTTGACCAAAAGTGTTGATGGAAAAAATTAATAGAATCATTTTTTTAACTTCATCTCCAAAAAAAACTCTCATTCTAAGTCTCAGAAAGAAAGAAACAGGCCACTCTTGTAGTGCCAAGATAACACTAATCCCATTCTCATAAATTCATAGCGTAAGATTTGTCGTTTTTGTCATAAAACCATACCTCAACATTTCTAACATTTGTTCTTATTCAACGGTGAAAACATTCCCAAAATGCTAGACTTTAGACATTGATCATTTACCATACTTCACTGTATTTACAAGAATTTCAAGGTTTCTCACCATTCCCTGAGTTATTTGCCACGCAAAGCAAAGAAGATCTTCGGCGGAAAGGCCTTCATTATTATTTCCGTATTGCTCATTGCCAAGGGAAAAGCTGATGTTCACCTCGCTAAGACGGATCGCATTTTTCTCAGTTTTCTCGGAATCCAATGAAATTGCGTTTTCATTCAAGCTAGTTTCTTTATCATCTTCTATCAACTGATTTCTCCTTGGCATGCCAATTATTCGTGTTGCCCCATTGTTTCGCTGTTCACAAGTAAACGGAGTTTGGTCGCCCACGGCATATTGATGCGAAGAAATATACTAAGTAGAAATGAGAGGAGCAAGAAAAAAAATGTTTGGCAAAATATGTTCACCATTGGCGAGAGAATAATTCTCATGTTGGTGAGGAGGGTTTCCGGGATCTCACCCGGAGTATCGCCGCAATATCCACGGTGTACATCCCGGGATCGTTTCGGGATCCTGCCCGGAGCTGAAAATTTACCTCTTTGTAGGCCTGTCCCTATTGCACTCGTAAAATGCTGGAAAGTTGCTGACTGGAGTTCCAAAAAATTGCTAGCAAATTGCCAAAAATCCAAAAAGTTGCTACCTAAATTTCAAAAGTTGCCTCCTAAATTTCTTGATATATTCTTATAGTTTTCGTTCCCTACAATAATAAACCTAGCTTCCAAGAGTTGTTCGCAAATAAAGGCGACTTTTAACTATCCACTTCCGTTCATGAAAAATAAATTAACGATGAAAACCATTTTAATATTAGATAATAGGCCTGCGAAGCATTAAAGAAATTCGCACAAATCGAAGTTTTTATGAAATCGTTGATTTTTTTGATAAGTTGCCAAAAAGGAAAAATTGCTTGAGGTTTCTAATACCGCAAAAAATTGCCTTGAACGCCAAAAGTTGCCGAGTACAATCGCGACAGGCCTACCTCTTTGCATAGCACCGGGATTGCGCCCAAAAGGCCGACTTGTACTATCACCGCGATATCAGCGGTAAACCTGAGTATCCCACCCTGAGTCACATCTTGGATCCAAGCGGTATCCTAACGGTATCTTATAGACATATGGAGGCACCATGGGAGAGTGTTGTTTACCTGTCTTTTGTTTCGTAGCCACTGAAGAAGATCTCCATGCGGAACGTACTCGAGGATAAGCATAATTGGTCCTGACCTTTCCCAGTAGCCAATCATGCTTAGCACATTCCTGTGAGAACCAATTTTCTTCATAAATTCAATTTCTTGCAGAAACTGTTTTTTATCGTCCTTGCTCGCTGTATCTGAATAAGAGTTAAAAGAGATTAAACAAAATTTTCAAGGTGTACACAAAAGTACCCCATGTGACATGAAGGGTTAAAACCCTTCCTTTTCAATGCTACTACCTTCTCCCTCCTGCAAACCCCTCCCCCCCTCCCCCCACCCTCCTTCCAACACCATTAGAAAATAATTAGGTATGTACCATTTTCCCCCTATCTCATTTATATCGCCCTTTTTTTAGGAATTCTTAACCTCTTTCCTTTCGAACACCTTGCAGTTTGCCCGTATAAGAGCTCCGCTAATTGACCTTAGACGTGCTGAAAAAAATGTTCAAACATTTTAAGTTCGAATGGCCAACCATTTCCAAAAGTCTCAGGCCACAATCGCGCGCGCTGAAATCTGGACGTGGTTCTGTTATAACATTACTCCCGTTTCAATTCAAATGCCTATCTCAAATATGATGTATCTTCTTACCAAGTAACACTTTGACAGCAACAACAGTTTCTCTGCTCACTTCGTTGATTCTTTCCCTCTTTGGTTTATAGAAGACTTCAGATTTTGGTAACTCTTTCAAGACTCCTTTGTGAACTTTTCCAAAAGCTCCCTGTCCCAGTTCTTCTAACAGAGTTACCCTCTCGGGGATCACTTCCGATTGCAATAAGTGAACGATTTTAGATTTTGACTTTGAAAGCGGTCTAAACATTTGGAAAGCAAAATTAACGATAATAAAGTTAAACTAAATCACGATGTGATCCTCACAAATTAATTGCAATTAAAGAAACTGAATCGAGAAGATGTCTAGTAGAACAAGTTAAGACTTCGACGAGGTTCGAACCTGCCCATCCAAGATACTAACTGGGCGCTATATTAACTGAGCCACCGGGCTTAAATGGTGTGAAGTATTTATCTTGCAAACCTTTGCTCCAAAACAGAACGAAGTTGTCTCCTTCTGTAGCAAAACAAGCCGACAGCTACCGCAAACACAGCTGCGACACTCCCAGTGATTATTAGAGCTTTTAATCTTTTTTTGTCTTTGTAACTGGTGTTGTTATTTTGCTCGTCAGGATTTACTAGAATGGTTTGGTTAACTGAAAGACAATCAGTTAAATAAATAATTGTTACAGCTGTCCATAGCAGTGGTGAAAGGCGAGTTTTTATTGTGTTACACCTATTATGTAACCTAAAATGAAGGCCTGTAACTCGCTTTTGTAAAACAAGGGGAATCAATTTAATTAGCAATCTACAAAGGTAAAAACGAAAAGACGCCCGCAGCATAAAAAAGGCACAAATTAATATCCGGCTTCACAAATTCATTGTATTTATTTCGTTAATTATTTATTTATCTTATACTTAGACGCTAGTAAATAAAAATAAGTTAAATAGCTCAACCAAAAAACCGATGCGATCTCGATAGAAATCGGCCCCCTTACACAAGTTTCAGTTGTGGAGCGAGTTTTCACGGATTATGTTTGCGCGGTGCATCAAAGCATCTTGGTCCAACATAAAACTCTTTTTTATCATAGTTCCTCAAAAAACAATCTAAATATTTAGACTTTTACAAAGTCTCCCACAATAGCTTGCAGCCTTCACCAGGACACATTTCTCCTCAGGCCTCTATTCCCTTTCAACAACAACGTTACTGGACCCAGGAACGGGTTTATGATCTCACATGGACCTACCTCCTCGAGTTCTAACCCTCCATAGTTTACGAGGGATATCTTTATCAATGTCTCTCGTGGTAACAGTAATTTCATACTCCTTGTAGGATTGTAGCTGAAGATCATAAGAAGTTACATTTGAAAAAACAGCAATTGCATTCCAGTTTTTGCTATCGATTTCCCTGTAGTGGACAAAATACAGCTTGATGTTTGCCGGACATGACGGCGGCTCCCACTCGACGTTAACAATGTCTCCCTTTGCATCAGTTAATGTGACGTTTATGACTAGTGCGTAATCTATGGGATGACGAGAAATTGTTTAGGAAGCGTGGGACTTACCAATATAGTTATGTTTCTTTGTTAATCAAGAATATTATTAAAAAATCCTAACACAACATAATAGGCTATCAACCCAATTTGAGCTCTTTAATTAAGGACAGTGTATGTGTCTTTCTTGTTATTCAACACTGTAATAGGACAGTTAACGTCATATTCGCGCCCCGATGTTGTACTTTTCGCCGAGTTGTCAGTTTCTTTTGTTTGGTTGTTTTTTCATCATTAAAACCGATATAACCGATGGGTAGTTTTTGCTTAACTTTTGGATTTTTTTTTCATCGTTTCGATTTATTGGTAACAGGATTACCTTTCGTCTAATGCTGTCTTAGGTCAAAGTCGTGATTAAATTTTGGGCTCCGCGGTCGTCCGATATTGTTAATCACTCGTATGAATACAGACCGAATTGAAGTCACGCTGGTTTATTTATTCACGAATCGCGCTCGCCTTCCCGAAAAATTCATCGTCACAGTTGAATTTTGGCGTTCATCACACAACACGTATAAACCTTTTCCACCCTCTGAGTGCAACCAAGTCACATCTAGAGAGTGGAAAATTAGCTGAGAAAATTTTGAGAAGTCTTTGAACCAGTCATTGCGATTAGTGAAATGATACACGAATAAATAGCTAAATAAAAAAATAATCATAAATAAATGGATAATTTCAGTAAAAAATTACTTTTACTTTCGACATTCAAACGAAAGTTGCTTAGTGCGGTATGTTTATCTCACCCTTGTATAAGTCGTAAATCTCGTCTGGAGTAAATGCTACTCCAATGACGTGAAGATCCATTACCGATCCAAAGAACTTTACACCTCTAATGCTAAGTCCTCCGTTGGATGGCAAACCTCCAATGTAATACAACTTGTTCAAGCTACTCTGCTCTGCCATACTTGAAAGATAGTTGAAGAATAAATTAGAGGTGTTTCTTTTGATTGAGGCTATTTGTTTCACTCCATCAATGTACAGACTAATTTTTTTCTCTTGGCAAGTTGCAGCCAGGTGAGTCCATTGGTCAAAGTGTATTTGTCCCGTCGAAATGATTAGCCTGGTAAAGGAATCGCCATTGGAGCCCAACATCTGTCCACAAATAAAATGGATCTTTCCCGTCTGCTTTGATAATGATAGGAAAAGTGGATTACTGTCAGTGCTGATGGCTGTGAATACTGCTGTGTTACGTAGGATGTCATCATGATGGCCGGGGATTTTCATCCAGAACGCAATTGTGAAATCACAGTCAGTGATATTTGTAGTGGGTACTGTCGCGTAGGATTGCTCCGCGAAGAAGTCTGCCGCCTTGGTACGTGGACAGCGTCCTTTTGCAAATCTCACAGAACTGGAAAAACTGTAAGTATATATCATAAACAAAGAGAAGGAAGAAAATAAAACAGCATATTAAGTGCTTTCCTGTTGCGTACTTCAAGCAAACTTACTTCCCTCCCCTGCCATTGAACTAAAGGAAGTGGACGGATCCCACGTTTGAATTTTCATATGGTGACCCTTCCAAATTCACTCGCCAAATGAGGCACCTGGTCATATGAACTATGAAAAATCCCACGAAGAAGTCCCTTCTCTCCTCTCAGCCAATGTGTGCAGTAATCTCTCACTTTGTACGACTGAGCTTTCAAAAATAGTTAAAGGAATGATGAAAAAAAAAAACAAACAAACAAATCAAAATGGCACAACGTAAATAAAAGTAAGAGAATAGACAGTTAAAGAAATAAATAAAGATAATGGTGGCATCTTTACTGACCTCACGTCTGGGTCTGAACCGTTTAACAACCAATGC